ATGATCTTTTGCACTAATGGAGAATATTTATTTCATGACAGTATGCAACCTTTTACCCAGTGCCGTACTTTCAGATATCAGCTCTTTTTTTTTCTGGTTAAAAAAAAAAAAATAACAAAATATTTTCAGGACTGCATCCGAACTCCTGAGGTTTTTGAGGTTGGTGGTGAAACACAGCCTGCAGGAATTTTACTAGTAGGACCTCCAGGCACTGGGAAAACATTAGTTGCAAAGGTAGGTCAATTAGTTTTGTTCCTGTCTGTCAGTCTGTCTGTCTCTTTGTATCCTGGTATTATGCCATATTGTCATTGGTAGCAGAGTTTTCTAAATGCAAAACACTCACACAAAATGTAGAGATCTGGGTAATAGATATGTAATTTACTGCCTTGTTACCATAATATATACTGGATCACTAGCCTGATGAAACAGTGTCTTAGTTTATGAGGACCCAGGCACATGTATGTTAAATCTTTATATTGCATTTGTTTATTTTGGTACCCCTCCCCATTTCTTTAGGACTGTCAGACAGTAGATTTGTTTTAATTAATGAGAAGAGGCCACATACTGTTGGACCCAGTATTTTCTTCTGTGTTTGCCCTAAAAGAGCTGTTGGCACATTGTGTTTACAGCTATGGCATATCTTTCAGCCCAAAGCATCTGATTTCAGAAGATTCATAATTATTTAGTCACCTTCTACACCATGCTTGTTAACTCGTTCTGTCCCAAGAATTGAACCATGCGAGCTGGACTATGCCTATTATCCTGCAACACATGGTGTGCAATAATATCTTTTTCATTTAGTCTCAGCTGACTCAAGTGTAATGATGTCTTTTTCATGAAGTCTCAGCTGACTCAAGTGTAATGAAATCTTTTTCATTTAGTCTCAGCTGTCTCAGATGTAATGATATATTTTTCATTTATTCTCAGCTGACTCAGATGTAACGATATCTTTTTTCATTTAGTTTCAGCTGACTCAAGTGTAGTGATATCTTTTTCATTTATTCTCAGCTGACTCAGATGTAATGATCTTTTTTCATGAAGTCTCAGATGTAACGATATCTTTTTCAATTAGTCTTAGCTGACTCAAGTTTAATAATATCTTTTTGAAAATTTGTCACGATAAAACTGAATGCCTATAAAATTGACTGAGAGAGATCTATGTGATATACGAACAGCACAACAGGAGAATTATGGTGATTATAGTTTTGACAGGTCTACTCTGCATAAAATTACCACTTGATGTTCATGTTTGCTATAAGAACAGTAATGTAACAGTAAAATTGTAATTAATTTTCTGTTTAACCTCTCAACAGGCAGTGGCAAATGAGGCTGGCCTGAACTTCCACTATGTTAAAGGGTCAGAGCTGTTGAACAAGGTTTGTGCCTAATATTTTGTTGGTAACATGCTTGCATAGAGTGTGGTTTGGACACATAACTGTTGTGTCGATTTTATAGTTATTGGAATATATTTAATTGTCAGCATATCAGTTCATTTTATGATGATGTGTTTGGACATGTTTAGAAACATTTTTAAAGTAAAAATTGGATAGTCTTTTAACCACACAAAAAACCAAAAAAAAAAAACCGATGAGACATCTGGAAGTGCTTTTGAATCGTAAAGACATCAGTCACCATAAGTGTAAATACCTGATCATAATGGAAGGACTTCCTACCAAAAAATTAATTTCTTTTACAGTTTTATTCAAGTATTTATGCTATCCAAGTGAGTAAGTCTCAGTCATATGATGAAGCAGTAATAATTACAGTGAATAATATGTAATTAAAATGAATTCACATTAATTTTCAAGTAAACGTTGGTTGTTAAAGAATAAATAAGCAAAATTCAGGTCTGGGAGCAGATCAAACTATTTTTAGTGAATGCCTATAGGAAAAAACTTGTTTGTTATGCATCCTTTTTAAAAATGTGTTCTACCCTCATGAACGGTTTAACGATGAAATAGTTTCACCATATATCAAAGAGTAGTAGTATGTGCCTGAGTAAACTCAGTGACAGGACTTCTCCTTCCAGACTAGATCAAATATACGTAAAATGAGAGTCATGATGGGTCTAGTGAAAACTCTCTACAAAAAGGTAAACTAGTCTGAATTTTCAGTTCAGGTTGTTGCAGTCTTTTCTATGGGGGAAAGAGGGGGAGGGGAGGGGGGGACTTTTGAGTTCCTAGCGTTGTTGCTTCTGAGATGATGCAGTGTTTTAGACAAGTAGATTGTCTTATGACAGCAAAGTCAAAGTATATATTGTTTAGAAGTTGTTGCATCAAGAAGTCTTCTTCTTCTTCGCGTTCACCAGCTGTACACTCTGGTGGAAAGTTCTGGTTGTTCGTCCACTTCTGAACTGCAGTCCTGCTCCAGAACCTGAGTGTTGCATGTGCATCAGTTTTACAGATCTGATTCACTTGAATGCAGACTGTTGGTTCCCCTGCCTCTCAAGCAGATGCACTCCGACTTCAAAGGAAGCTCCCCAATTAGTCGACTCTTACGACAAGCTTTTATGTAGGGAGAGGGTCTATTCTTGTTTTCCCTACTATGGGGCCCCGTAACCCACGCGGGGAGCATCGAGAAGTAATCAGGATGATGATTTGGCACTGGCTTGCTCTTCTGCACTAGAGGCTGTGTTATGAACTTATGGGTAATTTAATAGCAGCACTGCTTCAATCTTCTTTGCCAGCGTGTGAAGTCTAATAATTATATGGATGAGAATAGAGTGGCAGGTAATTTAATGTTCTGGTAAACTAATAAGGTTAACAGAGATTGCTGTAAATCCATTGTATTGTGTCAATATTATGAGGCCAGTTCTAGTTGATGATGATTTCAGTTTACCATGATGTATTTTATGAGTTAAAAAGTCTTCAAAAAATAAACTGCTCTTGTATTTAAAAATATAAACTTCTCGTCTTTTTCGCAGTAACACTAATTTTTTTTTTTTTTTTGTGTGCCTTTTCTCCCACCTGAATCAGTCATATTTGCTCAGTAGTTTAATATGTATGTGTGGCGCGGTGATTTCGGTCTCAGGCATGAGGCAAAGTTAAGTCTGATGTGAGGTGTATAAGGAGATACTCCGTACCCCACTCGGGCGCCAGTCCTTCACTGTTCTGGTTTTACGGAACCTCATGCAAGACTCCTGCTGCACGTCCCCGTCGTGCGCCACGGATAATGTCTCAAATGAGCATTAACAGAGTTGGCAGGGGATCTCGGAGCTGGCGGCCCCTAAAGGTGTAGTGTCCTTTCTGGCTCTCACCAGCCCGCCCCCAAATGCATGGGTGAAAAGTCTAACAAAACTCAAGAATTGCTTTCTAAATGTACCATCAAATGACAACTCTTGGTTAAAATTTGGGAGGGAATTTAAAACTGTGCTGCTGAGACTCAACCCTGGCCGAGAGATTTACCCGCAGCCAAGACGAGTAACATCTCTTGTGGGCGACTTCTTGCTGCAAGATCCTACCTACGTACATCCTCAATCCTCAGTGTCGTCGTCACCGCGCTGAGGTACACCACGGCAGCAACTTTTCATATGCTGGCTTGGAAATAATGTCCGACAAAGTTATACCCCACGGCACACATGCAAGCTCAGTGTCCGACGATCATAATTCGTACCGATTAGGAAAAGTCTGAATGTCCGTATCCACTGGTCCAACTCGCCCGAGTGTTGGGACCAAACGGGTGAAGGCACGCCTGACGCATTTTGCTTCCCTATTCTGTCATGCTAAGGGCACAGCTGAAACAACGTTAAAGGTGTCTAACGTAAGATGAAAAAGAATGTACCTATTTGTGTGGCCAGAAACGTCCTAGACCTGCGGGCTGCTCCCCGCTGATCTCCGGAGAGCGCAGCCTTGTAGCGCGGGAAGCTCAATACACGGTTGTGAGGTTAAGCAGTCATGGGCAGGACGTGACGATTCCTTGGGTGAGCCCAGAACCAGAGCATCATGTGTCGGCTCTGCATTTATGGAAGCCTCCTTGGATGGCGGGGAATGTCCATAATCTGCCCCTGCCTTCCCTTGAGGGCTGAAAACTCTACATAGAGCTGCCTTAAGGACGACATGCCAGGGGCCACACCTGTTAAAAGTCAAAGAGGACACCACACAAATGAGGCAACATCTCGACCCACACAAAACAATGGCCACAGTCAACCTAGAAATAGGCTTGACGTCTTCCTCCGAAGTCGGAGTACATCTGCCGGAGAGGCGGGGAACGAGAACTGCAAACAAATAAGACAGTAAAACGGATGTACACGCAAAATTCAGGTCAAGGTAAAAGCCAAAAGTCCATTTTGGACGAACAACCGCGACTTACCGCCGGAATTCACAGCCGGTGAACAAGAAGAAGAAAAAGAATATGTATGAATGTATGTATATATATATATATATATATAAAAAATGTTTTATTTGTCTGCAGTATGTTGGACAAAGTGAGCACAATGTGATAGCTCTTTTCCAAAAAGCTGCCAGCTCGGCTCCTTCTGTCATATACTTTGATGAAATTGATTCCCTTTGCCCAAAGAGGTCATCGCAGAGTGATGTAAGTAAAGAGTGATGTTGAGTTGTTTATCTTTGAATTTTGTAAATTACAGAACGTTTTGCTGTTAATTTCTTTCATTGGATGTTAGAAAAATAATTCTTACATGGTGTTTAGATTAGGGCTGTCCCTATTATTGATTTTCACTATTCGGCCGAATACGAATAGCGGGACATTTGCAGTGACTGCAGTAGCTGTTGTAACTTGAAAATGATCCTTTAGGTAGTGTTACTATTTTTTGTTGAGGTCAGCGATCTGAAAGGATTCTCAATGAAGAGTAGTCCTCAAAAGGATTTTTATTTGGCTTCTTGGTCTAAGAGGATGCTGCTGCTGACCCGATCGTGTCCATGTTCATGAAAAAATTTTGTTGTCCTTCAAATTTGCGTTTAGTCAGAGATATGAATGTTTTTGTTGCAGGAAGGATCATCAAGCGTGTATAACCTAATCAAGTGCTCCTGGAATTGTCAGGAATGCATGAAAGAAAGGAAGTGTTTGTGATAGGAGCAACCAACAGACTCGGTAAAGCTTGATTTGTCTCTTTTTTATAGTATTTTTCCAAGTGTCTTTTGTATATTTTTACAGATTAACCAAATTAATATTACAATATGTAATCCATGTTTAATATTTACATGATTTGTCATACGTTAAATATATTTTGTTTTTTCCAAAGCACAGACATTAGACAGCACAATTCATTGTGTGACATATTTATTATGAATCTTTTTCAAATTCATACTATGGAGATTGTGTGAACATAAACAAAAACATAAACCTTTGAAATAAAAAATAAACTGTCCATATGAAAGTTACCACAGTAATTTCCAGCCAACCACCTTTTCCATGTTCGCTTAAAAATGGATTAGCATGTATGTCACCACAGCCTCTCAAAATTTTAACTCCCATTGGCTGTCTGCAGTATATTCTACATAATATACATTCCCTGTTAATAATTTTTTTTTATTTTTTATTTTTTTTATTTTCTATGAATATTTCACACAATTAGGTTAAAACAGAGGTGAAGATAATCTCATAATGTATACTCTAGCTGAGGTGTCAAGTTTTAGACCTTTATATATTATGTTTCATAGCGTGTTAAGTTCAGTAGCCATTTACCTCCGCCTTTATTCACACAAAATTCTGAAAATTGTCTGGTACTCATTTTTGTTATCAACTATTTAAGGCAAATCGTCTGTGTTACCTGAAAATAGCCATAGCAGTACATTGTTCAAATTTCACTGTATATTATAATATATATATATATATATATATGTTATAGATTATAAAAGTTGAAACTAATAAAATCCTGTTTGCAGATCGTCTTGATGAAGCGTTAATACGCTCAGGCCGATTAAGCAACATTTTTTACGTGGGGCTGCCAGACGCTGAAGGAAGATTGGAGATCCTGAAAGCCTGTACCAAGGTAGGCAACATCTAATACTAACTACTAGCTACAATCATGTAAGCTGAATTTAATTATGCACTCATTATCACAAAGTGCCTTGCTGACTGGTGAGGTGGGGGCAGTCATGTCACACCACAATTTGTGACCTCCCAACAGCAAGTAGCAGTCTGGTGCTGACACCCTCCATGCCATGACAAAACACTGCCAAGAAAGTTTTACATTTGTTCATTGTCTTTAACTTTAATACTGCAGTGTTTTATCTAAGGACAATTTTTAAGGCAAGATCAGATTTTCTGTCTGCTGCTCCCCCACCTCCCCCACACACACAGATTCATACGTAGCTTGCTGTCCATTAATATGTGGCAGTATATAATGTGGCATATCCATATGGACATATATAGTTTATATAAATCATCCAGAACATGTTGTGACCACTGGAAAGATCTGTGGAAGGAGGGATAAAGGAAGACAACGAGAGAAGATGCTTGACAGTCTTGTTGCATGGCATGGAGGTGTGTCGGCACACGAACTGATACATGCTGCAGGAGATCACAGATTATGGAGAGGCATGATCGCCCACGCCATGATGATGATGATAAATCATCTTCATAAAGTCTGCATGGGCCATAAGTCCACAGCCATTTGTCACATATGCTATGAGTCACTTTTGACCTGTCGACCCCTGCTTCTTTTTGCGTTTAACTTTCTTGTTGTTACTAAATACACCAGTTTTTCTCCAAACAGTATTTATGGAATGTTTATCTTCTATTATGGGTAACCAGTTCTCTTTGAGTTGATTTCTTTCAAGAAATCTTTTCACTCAATATTCTTTTCTAAAAACCACATTATATAATTTGAAAAAATCTATATTTCCAAAAATGTCATCACAAAATAACTCTCTCTGACACTTTTAGCAGTAGATTATTACCCACATTATATAATTTGAAAAATCTATATTTCCAAAAATGTCATCACAAAATAACTCTCTCTGACACTTTTAGCAGTAGATTATTACCCACTCATTACTTTCATCATCATCATGTGTCACACATAAGAAATGGGCAGGACGGAAGAGGGGGGTGGGGGGGGGGTATTTGCACCAGTTCTTAAAAAAAAAATTTCATGAAAGTTTTCTGTCGCTCTTAAGCTCTCAGTAGGGTAAACTCTATCAGTCAATCGCACCAACCATCATGTCCAGCTAAAAACATCTCCTGTCCGTCCTTTTTCATCTCAGTATTTGATTGTCTTTTGTGTGTTTAGTCTTTTGTATGCCTTAGGTGTTACGGACATGCTTCATCATTCCAAAGTGCCTGTTTCTATTCCAATATGGGTGGTTTGACAGCAGACCACTTTGCGGTGATTTCTACAGTGGTATTTATTGCTGACCATTCTTCAGTAAGCAAACATAAAATTGTCTTGTAAAATCACAAGCGGAAAAAAAAATGCTGGGTTTGGTTCTCAGGATCCTGTAAAGGATACACAATTAAAATCTTCTTGTGTTTTTTGGTCTTCCTTTGTTCCTTGACTCTGTGGGTTCTAGTTTAAGGACATTCTAATTATTTAGTTTTCTCACTGTTTTCTGCCCACAGCCAGCATCTTGTCCTCACTTCCTTAATCACTGGGATTGTTTAAGTCTCTACCAAAGCTCCACATTATTGATTTCCTCATATCATTTAATTTATCTCAGTTCTATGCAAGAACCAGTTCATCAATATTTGTTTAATTTCCCCCCAAATTCTACATTAGTAATTTTGTCATACCTTTTCTTTCAGCTTCTGCGTTCATCAGAAGACATAAATGCTTTGTACCCGTTTACAACATGGTCATCATATTTTTAAATTCTCTTTATTCTGCACTAAATGAATATTTGCAGTTAGTTTATTAGTAATTAAAAGGTGTCTTTAAAAATCTCATGTGTTTTTGGATTTTATTTGGTTTAAAAAAAAAAATGAAATCAATCAATTTAGCTTGTACTCTAAATATGGAGGGTTAATTTTAAGGCTGCTTTTTGTTTTCTATACAAGTATACATTTTGTTTGTGTGGATCACTGGGGGTCATCACTAGAACTGAGAAGTTGCATGCTTTTTTGAAGACTTTTAGCAGGTAGCCAGCTGCTCTGCAGAGAGACTGAGCCAGGAGGAGTAAAACACAGTGCAGTAAAATTGAACCTGCCGTCTTTAATCACTTTGTTTTACTTCTTTAAAGTGTATTTTCATTATTTATGTTATATTAATGTACTGTATTATGAATGTCTTTTCAGTAGCAGTTTGAATCAGTTTTGGATAGTCTCACAGTAGTGGTTAGTAGGGCTGTACCGAATAGTGATTTTCACTATTCGGCCAAATACAAATAGCGGGACCAACTATTCGGCCGAATACGAACAGTGTATTATCATCATCAGATGCCTTGCAGACTGGCGTGGGCGATTATCCCTCACCACAATCTGCGATCTCTTGCAACATGTATTAGTTCGTGTGCTGACACACCTCCATGTCATGCAACAAGACTGTCAAGAATCTTCTCTCATTGTCTTCCTCAATCCCTCCTTCTACAGATCTTTCTAGTGGTCTCCACATGTTCCATTTTCCCTTTTCTCATAACATGGCCGAAAAATGATGACTATCTCCTTCTGTTGTCTTCGGGCTCCCGCCTCTTTCAAAACCTCTCGGTTGATTTTTGTTTTTGGTTGTGCAAGGCATTTTAAGCATTGTTCTGTAAAACCACATCTCTGAGGCCTCAAGAAATTATGTTTGGCCTGCCTACTGGCTGCACAGGACTCATAGCCGTATGTTAAAACTGGATGTATGTAGCAAGCAAGAATTCTTTTTTTAGCCCTCAATGACAAAGAAATATTGCATAAGATGTTCTTCATTTTATAAAATGCAGTTTTTACCTGTCCTATTCTGTTTCTTTTTTTAGTAATGCATCTTCCATCTGATGTTATCCATGTGCCCAGATACTTAAATTTCTGTACTTATCCCAAAAAACAACATTGACTTTTATTACACATTTAGGAATAATTCTTTTCTTTGATACCACCATTACTTCTGTCTTCCCACTATTCAAACTGAGGCCCATTCTTCCAGTTTCGAATAGTGTATAGTGTATAAAATAGATCTTAAAAAAACCATTCATAATGTTAAATGTACACTGAAATTTTACTTTACAAAATGTAGTACAGAAGAGTAAACATTTAAAAACATTTTAGTTTTTTGCATCCTTCGGTCAGCCAGTCTGTGGTAATTAATACCTAGAAATGAAAGTATTCTTAGTTTTATAACAAGTAACCTTACTTGTAAATTGTTACTGACAGCTTAGTTAATGCATGAAAGCGGCATTAGCTTTAAAAAAATAATAATCGTTCCATGTTGTCAGCATTAAGGCAGCTTCTCGGCTGAAGGTATTTTCCAGCTGTACTATACAGACGCTCAACTGGTACGCTCGTAGGTGGTGCACAAAGATAATGTTTGACAGTATGAACCAAGGTGGGATATCCTGACATGTTTATTTTCCACCAGTCCAGAAATGAGTTTAAGGTAGCCACTATTCATATTCGGCCTGATCGCAAGTATTCGGCCGAATACCGAATAGTGATTTGGTTCACAATTCGTCCCCGATGTGAATACGAAGCAAATTTTCGGTACAGCCCTAGATGTTAGACATCAGGGTTTTAGGAAAGGAGTCTCTTGTATTTTTTTTAATTACCTTACCTTTAAATTAAATTGCAGAATGGTACAAGTCCCAGGCTTGCAGAAGATGTTGACCTTGACTACTTAGCAAAGGAGAGAACTTGTGGCTTCTCGTAAGTATAAAATTTGTTGTTAACATGTTTAAGAATATATGACCATTATAATAAATATGATTTAAAAATTTTTTTTAATTTCTTTACTTTCAAACTTTTCTAACAACTGTGTACCATGGGAAGAACTGGCTTCTTGTGGGTATGAACTGAAGCAAAGCTGTAAAAGAATTACTAAGACAGGAGTGTTGCTTTTTTTCAGTATAGGAAACAGTTGGTGCAGATGGCAACAGGGACAAGTAAGCTAGGAAGTGAAGCTAGCTTATTCCTGGCCAATGTGCAGTAGTGAAATGATAATGAGGTGGAGAGTGCACATGGATTATATAGTATCTTATAGCTTGTAGATAATTGTGATATTCCTCTATAATTTTCATACTTATACTTGTCTCCTTTCTTAAAAATGGGTATTAATAGAGACACTTTCCATTCATGGGGTAGTTTCTCCGTCTTCCAAATTAGTTTTATTAACTCATATATCTTTACATGTAATGCATGACCACCTTCTTTTAAAAGTTCAGCTGAAATTCCATCAGCACCAGTTGCTTTATTATTTTTAAACCGTGTTATGACATACAGTACTTCTTCAAAATCAGGCTCTTGAATATTTGGTTCAGATGTTAATATTTCTTCCTGTGGATAAGTATTAAGTGGGGTTTCACAGTTTAACAATTCAGCAAAGTATTCCTTCCATCTGTTACATATTTCCTCATTATTATTTATCATGTTCCCATTGTGATTTTTTAAACTATAAAGGCCGTGTTGATGTCCTTGTTTTACAGTCTTCAGTTCTTTAAAAAACTTTCTGGATTTGTTGTTTTGATGGTTAGCTTCCATATTCATGACAATGTTGTTCATGTATACTCGCTTATCGTGCCTAACTACTTTTGTAGCTTCTTTACATTCTGTTCTATAATTTTCTTCATTTCGAATGTTACTAGTATCGTTCAGCCAAATCTGCCTGACATGTTTTTTCTTACTGACTGCTTCTTCACATTTTTTATCCAACCATTTGTTCTTTCTGTTTATGTTGGACACATCAAGACATTCCTCTGCAGTGGTTTGAATTATATGCTCAATATCCATCCAGGTCTGGTCAACATCTTTCTCTGATGAAATTTGCAAAATGTCAGTTTTGTGTTTTAACTCATCTGCAAATTTCTCTGATATGGATGTTTCTTGTAATCTTTCTCTATTTTACAACTTGGTGTAGAAGGATCTGTTTAACTTGATTTTTAATTTTGCACCTACCAGGTAGTGGTCACTATGATACTCAGCTCCTCTGTAGCTTCTAACTTGTATGTTCGATGCTTTTCTTTTTAAAAAAAAATTAAAATGTGATCTATCTGATTTTAAGTTATCCTGTCAGAAGATTGCCAGGTTTGCTTATGAATATCTTTTCTTTGAAATCTGGTGCTGCTTATCTGTAGTCATTTCGCTACGGCGGGATTGATTAATCTCCATCTATTATTATTTGAATTAGTATGTAGGCTTTCCATGCCTGCTACATTTTGATAGGTGTTTTCTTTTCCTATTTTTGCATTGAAATCTCCTAATACAATCAATATATCTTGTTTTTGAAGCTTCATCTATGATATTCTCAAGGAGATCATAAAAATCTTCTTTAATATCATCTTCTTTATCTTCAGTGGGTGCATGCACATTAATCATCGTAATATTTTTCCTTTAATTCGTAACTTACTGATCCTATCAGTAACAGCTTCAAAATTTATAATTCTTTCCCACAACTTTTTCTTGATAACAAATCCTGTCCCTAGTTCATGTTTGTTTTGAGTGTTTCCCCCATACACTATGATAAATTAAAACTAATACTAAACTTAAAATGTTTAATGTTAAGTCAAATTGGCAATATTCCATAGAATGTTAAGTCAAATTGGCAATATTCCATAGAATGTTAAGTCAAATTGGCAATATTCCATAGAATGTTAAGTCAAATTGGCAATATTCCATAGAATGTCAAATTGGTAATAAGTCCATAGAATGTTAATTAGAATGTTAAGTCAAATTGGTATTCCATAGAATGTTAAGTCAAATTGGTAATATTCCATAGAATGTTAAGTCAAATTGGTAATATTCCATAGAATGTTAAGTCAAATTGGTAATATTCCATAGAATGTTAAGTCAAATTGGTAATATTCCATAGAATGTTAAGTCAAATTGGTAATATTCCATAGAATGTTAAGTCAAATTGGTAATATTCCATAGAATGTTAAGTCAAATTGGCAATATTCCATAGAATGTTAAGTCAAATTGGCAATATTCCATAGAATGTTAAGTCAAATTGGCAATATTCCATAGAATGTTAACATGAAGAACAACTCACACAATTACTAATAAACTACATTCATCAACTGGTGCCTGTGCAGAATATATGGAATAAAATAGTGTTATGTTATCACTAATTTTGAGCTTTGGGAGACATAGAGGTGAAGAAAACACGACTTGCTTTGGATAGGAAACACATTGAAAAAGTCTGCAATAGTATAACTAGAATTTCTTTTCACTGGAACCCACAGGCACATAAAGGGCAGACAAAAATACATGGGAGCTAGATAGAAGTTAAAAAGATGGAGGAGGGTCTGGGGATGAGCTGCATGCAGTAGCAAAGGGTAGAATGACTTGGCAAGAGTTAGTTGAGGGCCTAAGCTCCATTGAGGGATAGAAGGCAGAAGAAGATACCTGGAAATATGCAGTATTTTGTTTCTTCTAGAGGGGACACGTGACTACTAAAGCCACATAGAGTACACTGTAAGAAGAAGAACAAAAAAATAATGGTGCAGTTTTTAATGTATTGATTTGTTTCTCTAGAGGAGCCGATATACAAAATCTTATGATGGAGGCAACAAAAGTCTCTGCAAATCGGAGCAGGAAATCCATCAATGAACCACTTGAGAAAGGAATTGTAACTATGGCTGATGTTGAGCAGGTACTTGCATATGTTGGACCTACTATAGGTGCCCAGGTGAGAACTTTCTTCATCTCTCTCATTTCATTGTTATATATAATGGCTAGGCTAGGTCAACCCAGTAACCAGTGTCAGTTATTCAGAATCGACTTTGATGAGGACTTCAACCCAGAAACTTCAGACCAGCGTACAGATGACTGGCCACTGTGCTACCTAGGCTAACATTTTTTTTAAGAATGTGAAATAATAATCAAAAGCAAGATAAGAGGATCCACACTGCATCAGGTTTTATCCCATATGGCTCTAAACGTATAAAGTTGCCAGCGAAAGGGTACACTATGCATAAAATTCATAGCTCCAGCAATGACCCCCTAGGGATTTTCAAAACATCTGTACCTGTAAAACATACAATCTCCAGCGCACAAGACAGGTGGCTTAACGACTTTGACATGCAGACCAAAACTGTAGCAACACTCTTCTCTCTGTCTACAAAGGAAGAGAAATTCACTATAAAATTTAACAATGTTGTTGTAAATTTCTTAGCTACAGTGCAGAACTCTCATCCCTATTGATGACAGCACAATATGAACATGCTGCTAATCCCTGCAGGCAGGATAGATTATCTCACAGAATGACTGTCAGCCATGCAGGTTCTAGAGGCTAGAATTACTGACAATGTTGCTGTAAATTTCTTAGCTACAGTGCAGAACTCTCACCCCTATTGATGACAGCACAATATGAACATGCTGCTAATCCCTGCAGGCAGGATAGATTATCTCACAGAATGACTGTCAGCCATGCAGGTTCTAGAGGCTAGAATTACTGACAGCACACAAAGGAGCTTGCTGAGTTGTCAAAAATGGTAGAACCCACCTGCAGTTGATTCCATTTTATTGTGGCATCAAAGGCAATGAAAGTATATTAGCCAAAGAAGGCAGCATTAAAATGACATTTTGTTATCTGAACAAAACAGACCAAGTCACAATATTTTGCTTTCTCACTGGACTCATATAATTTGGTATGAGCCAAGTAGCTCTCTGTATCAGTGTTCCTGTGCTGAACAGACCAGACTGCAGAACATGTCTTGGAAGATTGTCATTTCCTGGTTGAGCTGGGAAGCAACATGTGGCCACACCCAGTAGACTGACAACTAAGCTCATGAGAAAGCTAAGAGACCCCAAGATGACATCCCAGTTTATAACACCCTGTGGCTTTGGCACATGACTAAAGATCGCTGAAGATCAGCCAGCAATCAATAGGTTTGGCCTTTGTCTTCATTTGTGCGAGTGGCATAAATGCATTGTGCTTGTTGACAGCATAGTTGGGATATTAAAGCCTTTTGGTAAACACATCTGACTTCTTCAGGAATTGTTTTCCCATGTTTGCTTTCTCAGTTAGTTTCATGGGACATTAAGGGACATTTTACAGCCTCATTTGTGTATTGCTTCAGCATAGGTGCAGACTTGGTTGGCACTCAAAAGAAAGCAAAAGCAGAACACCCTTTTTCATCCAGAGAGAAGCTTCCATCAATGCGGCACCGATACATAGTGATGTGGTACTAAGCTTACCCAAGGAATGGTCAGATCCTGCGTATAACTGCTCAACTTTACATCCTTATATTGAGCCTTCCATTCATTACATCATGGTGGCTTGGAAAAGACGGTGATGGAGGGTGCAGTTTGTGGAAGGCGAGGCAGGGGTCGACCACCGCAAAGATGGACACAGGACATTGAAGAAGCATTGGCATTGAAAGCATATGCGGCTGGAGATAATAATAATAATAAAAATAATGGCATCCGTCAGTCCCGGAGGACTATGGAGATGTGCCGCTGGCTTTGGGAACAGCATCTGCTGTGACTGTAAAGTCTGATGCGGGAATGGCAGTCTTTGCCACACAGGATACACACAAAATCAGATACTCTCTCGTTGTGAGGCAGTTTTACTCTCCGGTGTCTCCTCTCCACAGCTCGTTGTGTTTGGTCTCTTTCAAAATGTGACAGTCCGTCTTTCACTTTCTGTCTCCATAGTAGTCGATCTGCAGCTGATTTTTCCCATGTCTCTGTGCCTATGTTGGTTTCTATTAGGTCACGTTTGCATACATCTTTATAGCGCAGCTTTGGCCTTCTTGTAGGTCTATTCCCAGTTACCAATTCACCATATAGGAGATCTTTTGGAATACGACCATCCTCCATGCGGGAGACATGTCCCAGCCAGCGCAGACGTCTTTGCTTCAGTATACAATACATTGATGGTATTTTTGCTCTTGTGAGCACACATTCGTTGGAGACTAGGTCTCGCCATAATATACCAAGGATGCGTCTCAGACAGCGCATATGGAAGGTATTCAGTCTTTTTTCCTGTGGAGCATAGAGAGTCCATGATTCGCAGCCGTACAGTAATGTGCTCAGGACACAAGACTCATAAACCTTCATTTTTGTATTATCAGTTAGCTTTTTGTTTGACCAGACTCTCTTTGTGAGATTTGCAAACATAGCAGAGGCCTTTCCTATACGTTTGTTTAGTTCTGCATCCAGAGAATGATTGCTTGAGATACGTGAGCCTAGGTACTCAAACTCATTTACAGCCAGCAGCTGATGGTCATACACACTAATGTTTGGTGGATTTCCAACATTCAATCCCATCACTTGTGTTTTGTTCAGACTGATGGAAAGCCCAAATTCTTTGCAAGCATTTGCAAAGTGATTCATCAGGATCTGCAGATCATCCTCTGAATGTGCCACAATGGCTGCATCATCCGCAAACAGAAAATATCTGAGGCATCTCGTGTGCACCTTCGTCCTTGCACGTAGCCTGGACAGATTAAAAAGATTGCCATCTGACCGCGAACGGAGGTATATCCCCTCAGTTGCTGTCCCAAATGCACGCCTCAATAATGCGGTAAAAAAGATGCCAAACAGCGTGGGAGCCAGAACACATCCTTGCTTTACTCTATTTCGAATCTGGAAGGGTCGAGATAATGAATCCTCATATATTATGGTCCCCCTCATATTCTCATGAAAGGATTTGATTAGGCTCAGTAGTATAGGTGGGCATCCATATTTTTCAAGGATCCCGAATAGACCATCTCTGCTGACATAGTCAAAGGCCTTAGTGAGATCTATGAAAGCAATGAGCAGTGGCCTCTGTTGCTCTCTGCACTTTTCTTGTAGCTGCCTGATGGAGAAAATCATATCAACACGGGATACTTTCAGCCGGGAAGAGAGCGAAGTTCTATAGAAAACTTGCTGATGATGATGATTGACTCATTACAGGCTGCATTGATTAGGATTCCTCAGGAAGCAGTCTGCAGATCTCATATTTTGATAATCTTCAGAAAACTGGGCATCTGGTATCCTCAGCATATTAGATTTCTCTCTTTGGCAATGGCACCTTTCACTTGGATACCGTGGGGCACTTTGTGCGGCATAAATAGGAAGGATGTATTAGGCGTGGCTTCCACATATGATCATGACACTCCGAGTGTGGCCACTGGTAGTGGACATTTTAACTTTTGTGTCATCACGCAGGATCTTTTATTGAAGAATAGTCGAACCTCAGTTATCATATTGTAGGACACTCAATGGGTTGACGTTTAAACTTCAGTAGCTGTTCATTAGGAATCTCTGTCAACAGATGTTTAATCAAAATTAGTCACTTAGTAAGATACTCGACCAGCAGATTTCACTCAGAAGGGAGTGGAAAAATACTTAAAATATTGTTTTATATTATAATCACAGCCAACAAATACTGCGGGTTTTTTTTTTTTTATGTTTTTACTTTTTTTTTGGCCTGTAAAGGATATGCAATTAATATATTGTTTTCTCTGACATTAAAGCTGTCTTTTATGCCCAGTATTTTTGTTCTGCACATTTTCTTATCCGCTTTTATTATCCAAAAAGACCTCAACCAACACAGACCAGCATATCTTTTACCCCATTCTTAAGTACTCTTCTTTTTGTGTTTTTGGTCTGTTTTTAATTCTTTAACACAGTCGATTGCGGTGCAAGAACATTCTAGTTGTTTTGTTGTCAGATTTTCTCATTGTGTTCCATCCAATGCCAACTATGCTTTGACAACCAAAATTTTATATTTTTGATTTATGAAACGAAGTAATGACTGCCTCTGAGTACTCTTTGAAGTAGAATTGTCATACTAATTTTGGAATGTTATTATTTTGCTCTGTGTATTGCTTACCAGTTATTTGTACTTACAGAGTTTTTTTTTTTTTTTTTACTATTCTGTAGAGCTTGAAAAACCTGAAAAGAGTGAAACAAGTTTTGGAAGGGAGAACAAGCAAAGCGACTATTGCCTGGATTGATGCAGATATTAAGGGAATAATTTCAAGGCGGAAAGGCAACTTGCAAGGTGCAAGGTCCAAAAGCAAGATGGCAGTCATGAAGAAGATGGAAAAGCAGTGTAAAGTTAAAGGTAAAAGAACTGAATGCTGTAGACTGAAGCGACTTCATCGGCAGTAGGGGATAATAGACATGAATTATGCGATAATGGCTCTTACAGCTTTGTGAAGCTAGAAAACCTACATGGAAGCAATTAAAAATAGTACAAATTATGTATTGATTGCTGTGGGAATAAAGACTAGATTGATCAAATGTGTGAGAACAAAATACGGAAACAGTGAAATTAAACCCACTCACTGCAAGATCAGTATATAATTACTGAGCAGAACAGAGTTTATTAGAAGTCTGGTATTTGGTACTTAATTTTAAGACACAAGAAAACCGAAAACTGTCTGCTTATATTGACATATTTGCAGGTTTTAGAGGTTGACAAATTGTTTATATTGTTGTAAAGCTGCAGTGGTCAACTCTACTCTGAGGATGATAGGAGGCATCTGAGGAGCCACTCAGCAGTAATATTATTACCGGCAGTTCAGTTACGCTAAAGATTGAAGTCAATGAAAGTTCCATGCAAGACCCAAACCCAGCTGTAACCTCCGCATTTAATCACAAGGTCATTCATCCACATATTAAGGATACATGACAAAACTAACTCTACACAACATCATGGCAATAAAAAGCATAAGCTCAGCACATCCATAGAATTACTTATTAGATTGCACTCATTGGAGAAGCAGCCAACGCGGTGCTGCTATCCAATACCCATGATTTCCTAACACAGCCCATAGCATAGACAAGCAAGCCGATGCCCTACCATCCTCATGACCACTTGTAGACATGGAACACTTCCAGACAGTACACAATTCTTACAAATGCGTAATAATTGGATACTGACCCGGCGCTTCAAAGTATCCCATCATCTCAGCAGCAACGTGGCCGTAAGCCAGATCACAAAAAGTGATTGACTACAACCTGGTCAGCACTAGGACTACAAACTTTCTTCACAGCACTCAGCTTACCTTTATATTAGGAGTCTTCAATGAACCTACCATTAGTCTCACTTCACGTACATTTCACCGGGTCTATGAGGAAAAGTCTGTGACTGAGTTTACTTATACTAACTCCTATATAGAAATTATAAACTAATTAAATACATTCCAGTAACTTTAGTTAACACATGACAAATATGTTCTCAGTGATTGTTTATTTGAATTAGTTGTTAATGGCTATAGAGACTTAGAATTGGTCAGTGTATGAACTGTGTGGTAAATTGTTTCAATTGTTGCCACGTGGTCTGAATTTCTGGATTTTAGATCCACCATGTGGATATTACACCAGTTTAGAAGCTGCAGATAGTCTTTTTATGCTTAATTGTGAGTGTGACTTTACTCACTACACATGTATAGAAGTTTCATGTGTATTTTGAAAGAGATAGGTAGTTATTTGTTAACGTTCACTGGTATATATTTTATGTGAATCATATAACAAGGTTTTATTTTACTCTCATTTGAATGTAGAAGAGTATTGGCAAAAAAAAAAGAGCAATTTATTGCATGACATTTGACATAAACTGTATTCCCTGTGCTGTGATTGTTAAAAATTGAAGAAAAAACTCAATAAGTGATTAAGATCTAACATACAGGGTCAGTACCGCTCTTAAAATGCTTGATCACAGTGTGTTCATCTTCATGAAACTTACTGGAATGTTGAATTAACCTTTTTTTTTAAAACCTTCTACACACACCCTGCCGCAGTTGTGCAACACTGGGCTAAGCAAGCTCAATGCTGATCCTGTCTCCTGTGCTGAATACTTTTCTTCCAAATACAAAAGATGGTGCTGGCTATATTTTAAACACCTGACTGATATATTTACCCTCGAGAGGTGGGTGTTTATATGGAGTGCAGACTAGTCAGATGTACTATGGTGATAAGGAGAAAACTCGCCTCGGCAGAAATGAAACACAAGAAATTAGATATAATTTGCCTGGTTTTGCCAGCGACAGTGACAGAAAAAGCACCCTTTCCTTCACCTTTGTCTTCAGTATATGCAATAGAAACTCTACAGAGGAACGAACACCACAGTAGCCTTCTGATCATAAAAAGAAAGATTCTTTGAATGTTTCGGCCCCTTTACCTGTCCCACAGGATAGTGCAAGAAAATCCTTATTCAACAGTCCTTAACTTCATTGTTCTCTCCACTGCTGTGGTATGATTGGTCACAGCCCATAAGTGCATCTGAGGTCCTGGCTCGTCCCACAAACTTAAGCGATGAAGCTAGCGCTCTACTTCCCCACTCCACCCCACTCCAAGGGAAAAAAGGGGGTAGGTATACGTGTCCATTAATAGGAAGACCTAGTCTAGGAGGCCACCCTGAGCCATGAATCAGAAGTACAATTCTGGTGATTTTGTGAGATGTTGATCTATTACCGCCTGTGCTTTTCGACAAGGCACATGCTGATGATGAAATGTTTTACTTATAACAGCTGGTGAATCAGAGGATGCACTTATAGAGATGGTATGAATCCTGAAAGAGTTTTAATTTTTGGAGGGAGATCAAAATTTTGTAAAAAATTTTTAAAGAAAGCCATTCTCTTCACAGCCAACTTTAAAGAAACTCGTCTTTTGCTCGGTCCCCCAACTCTTACACTTTCCTACCCAAGATGTCTTCCGCTTCCTATGCTTACTTTCATGCTGATCGACCTCTGTCTCTTCTTTCCTGTGGAATTGGTCTGAGCGAGTTTATGTAAAAAAAAAAAAAAATACCTCCCCCCTTCATACCCATCCAGGATTGCATCCCGAAAGATTAATACCAAGTGACCCAAAGAGTCCCATGAAACAGAGCTGCTGGGACATCCTAAGGTTACCAAGTAATCTGCATTCATGTGGGGCGGGTTTATGCAACCCCGTCTGGGAATGAAGGTTGAAACCCATTGACAAAAAGAGCTACTATACGGTTGTGAACACAACAGACCAGATCTTAGAAACCACTTTCAGTTACAGTGAATCACACAACGGCTGCGAAGTAACCTGCTTTTAACAAACAATATCCAGTCATCTCCTTGTGAGATGCAATTTTTCATTATTTTGAAGCCCCAACTTGGCTCTTGCCAGGGGCCGCAATATAGCCGACCATAAATATGGTTTAATAGCTGAACGCAGTACTGGGACCTCTCCGCGGGTGATCCTCATCCGCATGGTGGAACTTTTGTGTCATCGGATGTTTATCACTCGTGTGATGTCCTAGTGGGGTAAACATCTACTACTACTACTATTTAACAATTACTAAAAAAGTCTCAGTATGGGACGCAATTTTTCATCAATTTAAAGCCCCCACCCAGGCTGTCGGACAGGGTTTCTAGGACTTGCGCCAGGATGATTCTGGTCCCAGTGATGGCACTTTGTGCGAGATCTCGTCATGCCCTGATGCTGCGAAGCATTCAATGAGTAGATACAAGAAGAAGAAGGTAAATTCCTAAGAAGCAAAGGCGGCCGATGTGACATTGACCCACCGAGTACAGGCTGGCCCATATAATGTAGTTGCAGCATTATATGCTCCATACTCCCCACACACCTCTACAAGACATTATGGTCCTGTTCACGTTTCCCGGCCCATCTACACTGGCCCATTTTTAAAATTAGGCACAAGGGCAGTGGTCACTACCCTTACTCTCCTTTCGTTACCCTATTGAGTAGTCGAATATATACAACCGGACACAATCTTTTATTGTTGCAAAAGCTTTTAGGCAATAACCAATACATTAATCTCGGAGTGTGTAATCGCTGAGCTGTGAACCAGCCATTAACTGTTTTTTCCGCTAATTTTTGTTGACGTTATATTGCTAGCAATTTTATTTAACCGGATTTAATACAGCATGTTTATGTTTCTAAATGTGAATTGTCACACATGCTTACTTTCTCTGGACGTCGAAATGCAATCTGCTAATCATGAAATATCGTTAGCCTGACATTAAACCAACCCATATAAGGCTGTAGGTTTTTTTCGCAGTTGGAGAACAACCGGATCACACTATAACAAATGTAAAAAAAAAAAAAAATGACCCTGTTCCATGCCTTTAGGCATATAGGGCTAGACCTATATTTTATAGACTAACGGCACAAGATGGGTGATGTGGTCAGCATCACGTCATCCGCCCTGTAACAAATGAGGAATAGAATAACTGAGGCTGAAACTAACACTTCACACACATATCCACGATATGACTAACACATTCTTATTGCAGGAAGACAACTTTAAGACCCCTATGGTCCACGCGAAATACTATCACGTTTCGGATGTATCCAAAACCAAAAACTGTTTTCAGTACTTTTTGGCAAAGTAAAATAACATTTTAAAACTATAAATGGTGGTGCAAAGGACGTTTTGTATAGAAGCTCGCTCTCCTACGAAATACACCTGGCCAAATCATAGAGAGATGAAACCAAGGAGGAAACACCTGGTAGAAAAAGACAAGAACACAGCTTACAACTGGGCAGAGAACCAGCGGACTGATTCGAAGGAAGGAAGCATCAAGCCCAGAGGCAGAGCAAATACTAAAACTTTAATCACGAAAGTGAAGCAAATAACCCAGACAAGTATAGACGGTGACTGTTAGCAGCTTTGGCTAGCTAGCAGAAGTCTGAAAGTGGTCGAACTTTAAATTTTTTCTTCTTTAAAAGGAGTCTGAATCGCAATCGGAGGGTGTCATAATACAACTGTTTTAACCTGTTGAATGGGATATCTATGATTTATTACTGTTGTATTCGCATCCGTGACTCTTTAATACACTGATTCTGAGTCTTACAGACAAATCCAAAGATGGAATCAAAGATAGAAAAACGATTAAACTGAAAAAAACAAAAAAAAAAAAAAAAACTTTGACCTACAAGTTACAGTCGTGAGGATCAGCTTCCTTGCATCTGTTTATTCTGTATAGATCAACCTCTCTCCACATAGAGTCCAGGAGTAGGACAAAGCACGCATTCCGTAGATCCTACGACAATCCTGGAAACCTTTGTAAAAACTGTACACCTGAACTGAGCGACATGTCATAGAAACGAAGTCGAACCAAATTGTTAAGTTTCCGAGACAATATAATGTTAACTTTCCAATATTACTTTAT